CCAACTGTACCACCATGGATGGTACCACTTGGCATCTCTGAATTGATTTCTTCAGTCATAAAATGGAGATCATTATAGCAATACCAGGTGTGGTATTTGGTGTGGGGATTCTGTGACGTTGGTATGTTGAAAGTCGATTGCTGAGCTCTGCAAACACTCCTCTTCCTTCAAGTGTCAGATCCCCACAGGGTTGGGTAGAGCCTTGGAAAGGCAGGCACTAACCGGTTTTGTTGGTACCTTGGGCTTCTTCCGGCACTATCACTTGCCCACCCTTTGGGCCCAACATGGTCTCTCCTCCCAAACCCAGCTCCATCTCCTCGGTGGCATCTCCCTCTCGCCCACTCTGTTCTGCACGCACTGGTCTCCTGGTTTGAGCGCCGCAAGCAGTGCCTGCTTGGAGCCTTTTCATCCCTGTTATTCCTCCAGGTAACTCTTCATCCAACTCCTTCACGTTTTCATTTGGGGCCCAGCTTTCCTCTTCTCAGCAAGGACTTGCCACTCTACATCAAACTGGCACCTCCCCCTCCACACACCTCTGCTCAGCCCCTCCCTTGCCACTCTCCTAACCACTCCTTGGGTTGTGATGCATGTTTCACCATTGAAACACTGCCATGTAAACCTTGGTTGCTTTGTTCATTGTCGCTCATCATTAGACTGTAAGCTCACTGGGGCACCCCTGGTTCTAGACTAGGACCTAGCAAATCACAGGTGCCTGATGAAAGAAAATGAAGGAATGATGAACAAATAGTTAATCTGGGGACATACAGAGCCCACTGATTCTAAAGTACAGCTTTTAGGAAGATATCGGGTAGGTTACACTTCTTTGGTTAGATTCTTTCTCCGTGGCCTCTGCAAGGCTTGTGTTCTGAAGCTACTCTTGCTGTGTGGCATAATGCATTCTATTAGCATGATCACATTGAACATAATGATAGTGATGATGATTGTGAGAAGGGGAATGCCATTAGCATACGATGCTGCATCATACTATAATGAGCAATAAAGGAGCATGATGCCCTGACAGGCACAATACTAAGTTTTCTGCCTATTTATTTTTAATCCTCAGAGTTCTCTGAGAGGCATTTGTTATTATCACTATTTATTTTTACAGATGAGAAGCCAGACATGGAAAGGCTAATTTAACATTAGTATTTAAGCTATAAAGTCATTTAAATTGAATCTGCTTTTAACTTATTATCCTGTATCCTTCAATTTGTTGTCAGAAGTATAGAAAACTTCTATCAGATCTAGCAAGCTGAAATCAAAGGAATGGATTCTGGCTACTCATAATATAAAATCGGACTGAAATGGTGTCATCTTAAAATATTCAGGAGATCCTGAAGCACAGGGCTCAAGAAGACTGTGGAGTTGGGAAGAAGGAGAAGGAGATGGGACAAGGGAGAGTGTGACTGGTGTCTTGGTAAACTAGCTGGGCGGGGTGTTACCTGAGGAGTGTATCCAGAGCAGAGCAAGCTCTGGAATCTGCAGGAACGAACGGATGCTGGGGGCGGCTCCGCTCACCTTTCCCAGGTCCAGATTTAGCCCTCGGTAGCCCCCTCCCGAGAGCTGCCGGGTAAATTATGGGAGGATCGATGGCTGGGGCTGGAGACTTGAGCCTCATCACTTCTCACCCAGCCTGGGAATAGAATTCACATGCTGCTTGCTCTGCCTGGAATAAATCCTGTCCTCCACAGGCTTGCTGATACACCTGTGTCCTATAAAATAGCACAGACAGATTAAAAAAAAACACTTTTAATTGTGAACATGGTGAAGGTTTACAGAGTAGGTCGTAATTTTATCTTCAACAAATCGTGTACATTCTGATTCATCTCCTCCATCGCAACCCCCTCAGCGTACTGTCACTTATCCACTTCCTCCCTGTGTTCCCGTTCTTTCCTTCCTAGCCCTCTGAACTTTGCCCTCGGGTGAATGCTGCCCTTTTGATCTCAAATGGTTGATGACTTTAATTCACTTGGTGGTAACCACCAAGATTTTTATTATAGATAACTCATTCCTGCTAGTTAAAGTGGCACAAATATTTCTTGCACATGATGTTAAAGGGAGGGGATGGGTTAGAAAGCTGGAAGAGGTAAGTGGGTGTTGATGGGGAAGCTGAGGGTAGAGAAGACGGATCCCAGAAACCATTGTCACTCGGATTAGCCTGGCTCCCTGTTAGCTGTGGACACACTGACGAACTTGTGCGTGGAAGGTTTTCAAGTTAGGCATGGCTTAAGCCAAAATACGCATGCCATATAAATACAAGATAGTTTGACACAGTGGCTGCACTGTGGTCTCAAACATAACAATTGTGAGGACGCTCAGCAGTGGTGTTTGCTGTGCATAAGGTCTCTATAGGTTGGAACTGAACTAAACAGCTTCATTTCTCACCCACTGCCATTGAGATGATTCTGATTCGCAGTGACTATGTAGGGTTTCCAAGACCATAAATCTTTATGGGAACAGGCAGCTCATCTTTCTCCAGGGGAGCAGCTGGTAGGTTTGAGCCGCCAACCTGAATGGTTAGCCTAACACCAAGACACCTAACCCACAGCTCCACAGGGACTACTTTCATGAAAAACATGTGAACACGCTTCCATTCTTGACTACAGTGGTAACTTGATATCTCATCGTGGCAAAGGCTGTGTGCATGATGATGTAACCTACCCTCTGGGGTATGAGGAGGAGGAAATGGGATGATGGAGATAAAAACATAGAATACAAATCATTGTAGTAATATTTTCATCATATATTTATTTTCTAATACTTTTTCTCAGATATAGATGCTGGAAAAGGAGATGGTGGAGAGTCCATTTATGGACCAACATTTGAAGGTATGAATCTTTATATTTTCAGTCATATATTCAGATTGAATAAGACATTCTAGAAAACTGTCTAATCTGTATACTAGAAGTAATACACACACTAAAATGGGGGGAGAGCTTGTGCCGCATCATTTCACTTACCTCATTATATTCTTTAACATTTCTGCAATTAAGATTATAGAGTCATGAGGAATTTACATGTTTCAGGCATGTAATTTGCCATGCTCGTGTTCCACATTGGTAGCTGGGTAGTCATTCAATTAAGACTGCTGTACGGGGATCTTGGGAAGAGGATTGTGCGGGCAATGGAAAGCTCTTTAATTTTTTCTGAATCCCAACATAAAAATAGATCAAATTAATTCACAAGGAACTCTCACAATGCATGGTTTACAATGCAATGATATTTCAATATCATTGAAAACAAAGCTAGGCGACAAGACGCCTATCCAGACTCCAGACACAAATGGATGGGCAGGAACTACCAGCAGCCATGAAGTTGTGTGGTAGCAGCAGCATGTGGGAGAACACAGGACCTCGGAGAAACCTTGAGACGGGAGAACCCACGATGGGCAATAGCAGGCAAATGGAAGGCTTTAAAGGCACAGTCTAGCCCACAAGAACCCTTGCTACTACTGTGGCAAAGCCCCCTCCGGGGCCATCACCATGCAGAGGAGAAACTGTTAGCTGTGCAATCAAAATGATGCAGGGTAGGGACAATAATACGAGAAGGTCCAGATACAGGAGGGATGGGCACAGATCCAGGAAGTCTCAGGAAGGAAGTTGTCCTTTCTTTTCAAACACTGCATACAAACCACACAAGTGGGCGCTTTAGGAAGGAAAAAAAAACACCCCAAAAATCTGCCTTCTAAAATTCCCTTCTAAATAATTCAGAAAACCCATTAAAAAAATAAATGTCAAGGCTAAAGCTCATACGTGGTTAACAAAGAGAATAAGTAGTAGTAATGCTATCGATGATGAAGACACACCAGAAAGATATGCTCATGGAACAGATCAAACTTGTAGCTGTGTCAAAATGAGATGGCGTTGTTAGTAAATGTCAGAAACATGAAAGAACTCATCAGGATTACAAAAACAGATGAGACAGAATCTAGGAAATTAGTAGCAACAAAATAAAAATAATTTCATAAATAAGCTAGAAGGAACGCAAGAGCATATGAATACAACAGATCATATTTTAAAAGCAGGTAAAAGGAAGATTTTAAAAACCAAAATGAAATGAGAAAGATCATTAATAAATATACTAAAGATAATAAAGAGAAAATCCAGCATATGGATAATAGGTTTCTGTAAGGAATTAAACCAAAGCAAGGGAACAGAACAAGTAATAATAACTACACTTAAGACTTTTCCAATGTAAAGAACTTGTTTTACGTCTTTATTGGGGGTGGTAGTTACACAGATATACACAAGTACCAAAGTGCACCAAACTGAGCATCTGGTACATTTGACTATGTATATGCATCAAGTAAAAAAAAAATCCTGAGCCAGGGAACCCTTTCACCTCCCACTGAAGAAGAGAAAGAGCTAGCAATTGTGTATCAGGTCTTTGACTCACATGATCACCTACATTAACCATCTGTCTTGGAAGAAGTCTAAAGAGCAGTGGATTCTGGGGAATATCAGTCTCCAGACCTTTTGTTTCAGCAGTATATCCTTCCCTTGTTACTGCTGAACTGACGGAAGGCAGTGTGAGGCAACTTGATGATGCTCAGGGATCGCTGAGAAGGTCTGAGCACAGAATATCCAGAAGTGTGAGCATCCAAAGACTTACATGCTCTATGGAAAGGGGTTAGTGCATTTCCAGTTGTATGCAGCATAGTTGTATCATGTTAGAGAGAAGCATGGTTTTGTTATTGTTTTTAATAGATTAAATGTGTTTAAGGAGATGTATATGGGGACCAAGTTGAAAAGGGGTTGACTGTAATGGTTAGTTTTATGTATCCATTCAAGCTATGGCATCCAGTTGTTCAAACACTAGATTTTGGTAGAAAGTGATTAGCATTCAACTCAGTTGGTCTAAATTAAAACAGATAATCCTTCATCATGTTAGTGGGGTTCATCAATTAGTTGAAGGGGGTCCTTAAGGGCAAAAGAGATCTCCTGAGGCATAATTCTGCTTCCAGAATATAAATAGACATTCTTCAGAATTCTCGTCTCACCCTTGATATCTGGTCTACCAATTTGAGACACAAACCTGCTGGAATTCCCAGCCTATTGCCTGATTTATGTATCTTGAACTTGTCAGCACCCCCACAAGTGTGTGAGCCAATTCTTTTTTTGTGTGTGCCAATTCTTATAAGTATCAAGACTCTATTTCTCTTTCTGGTTGAGTAATGTGACAGAGCTTCAAAAAGTTCATAGACAAATGCCATTATCTTTTAATTCCATTTTTCCATGAACTTTCTGAGTCCTCATCATATTCCATTGCATGTCTGCACCACATTCTGTTGTCTGTTCATCCATTGGTGGGCATTTAGGTCGCTGCCACCTCTGGGCTCCTGTGAATGGTGCTTCCAGGACCTTGTACAATGCTTGAAATAGGTTTGAATCTCTGCTTTCTTGAAGCCTTGGAGTATGTAGCTAAACGTAGAATCGCTGGGTCATATGGTATTTGTAATTATTTTTGTTAGGAACTCTATTTTTTAAAGTGGCTGTACCCTTTTGCATTCACACTACTAATGGGACAAGGGTTCAGATTCCCCCACATCTTCACCAACATTTGTTATTTTTTCTGTTTTTGTAATCTTAGCCAGATGAGCGGGCGTGAGGTGTTATCTCCCTGTAGTTTCTACTTGCACCACTCTGACTAATGTTGAGGCTCCTTTCATGTGTTCAGTGACCAATAGGATATCTCTTAAATATTATCCTTGCTACACGAGGTAGTCAGTCCCTTAATATTAGCACAGTCTTCTAATTCACTAATAGCTATAACATTTAAACTCATTTTTTTCAATTGCTAGATCTCTTTATCTTTAAGCAAATGTGGACATTAATAAAAAGCAGAGCTTCATATATGGCCAGTACTGAATAATGAACACAGAGTTATACAAAAGTGGTTTTTAAAAATAGGGAATGAATAGAGAATGAAGATGTTATGGTCTGGGAGTCCTTGGGTGGCACAAATGGTTAAGAGCTCAACTACTAACTGAAAAGTTGGCAGTTTGAACCCATTCAGAGGTACCTCGGAAGACAGGCCTGGCAGTCTGCTCCCAAAAGATCCATCTTCAAAGCTCAGTGGAACAGTTCTGCATGACTGACACGTGGTGTCACCATGAGTTGGTATCGATTGATGGCAGCCCTTGAAGCGCTACTTAATCTTATGGGTTTTTTTAGTTAATTCTGATGTGTACACAGGAAAGTACATATATAAATTTAAAAAGTAATTATTGCCGCCCCCCTTGACTCAAAATATGAACTTTGAATACTAAAAGAGGCTCCCGTTTGTTCATCTTCATTCACAACTCCATCTCCCTGTAACCTGATTTTTTCTTCCCTCCTTTTCTCCTCCATTATGGTAAAACTATGTAACAAAGCACTTGCCATTTCAACATTTTTGACATGCTTAATTCAATGACATTAATATCGCCACTGTCGGTTTCCAAAGTTCCTTATCATCCTACCACTTTGCTTTGCGTGATTTTCCACCCATGTCCCCGTGTGCAAACAGTCTGAGCACAGCCAAGTGTGGCTTGTTTTTTGACCTGTCAGTGGGATCACGGTCTAGCCTTCTTGGTGTCTTGCTGCTTTTGTCCTCGCTGCCGGTGGTGCCTAGCTGTAAATCTCTCACCTTCGTTACTGTTTAATGTGATGGGTGTTCCACATTTATTCAGTCTGCTGTTGAACACTTGGCTGTTAAATGAAAATTCTGGGTTTTGCATGGTTACTTGTATATAACAATATTAGCAAATTGCGATTATGAACACCACCCAAAAACACACTGCCATCAAGTGGATTCTAACTCGGCGACCTGAGGGTTTCCAAGGCTGTAAACCTTCATGGGAGCAGGTTGCTTCGCTTTTGTTCTGTGGAGCAACTGGTAGGTTTGAATCTCTGACCTTGCAGTTGGCAGCCTAATGCCTATCCAGCACCACCACCAGGGCTCCGTTAGTAATTAAGCAGGTGGTAAAACTAGACTAGTGGATTTAAAAAATAGATATTGCAAAATGTAATCAGATGTCTACTTTGTATAGTTCTCCATAGAAAATTAAATGGAATTGCCTCTCGTTGTCTGATTGCACATGGTCAGGGAGAATCCAAGGCAGTTTTCCTATTGTTACTGGTAGTTACTGCTATTGTAAGCATTAGAATTAACTTTATTTAAAATAATTGCAGAAAGTTATTTTCTGCAGCATATTCTGATGTCGGTATCAAACCAAAAGGCTTCATTTCTCCCTTCATGATGCTAGTGTTGGCCATAACAGACTCGGCAATAAAACGAGACTGGCAGGGGAGCTCAGGAGTTACAGATGATGTAACGAGAGGGTTCAGAGTTTCTACGTGAGCTCTTAAAACTCAACTTTCTATGAATTGAAAATAAAAGTACTAATTATTCTGATTAGTGATTAGCACAACTTCCTAGCCAGCATTTACATTTTTAATTTTTTTCTCATTTTCCCTAGAAGTACAAAAGTTCTTTTGTTTCCCACTACTTTTGAAATATATTTTGAGATAGTTTACCATATTCCTTTTGGTTCAGACCTGCTGATCAAATAATCCACAAGATAGCCCATCCAGACTTAATGGGGAAATGATTATTGGTTTAAAGGTCAATTTTTTATTGTCCTCAAAAATAAGTATTATGTGAATAGGCTTTTTTTAAATAGAGCTCTTAAAAATGGCACAGCAGTTGGAATATAGCATTGAATTATTCAATAAATATTTTTAAATGACTATTGAATTATACATATGGATTTTCATTCTCTATCTTAATATGGTTACCACTGAAAATATTTCCCCACTAATGTAAATATTACATTGTTCTCTACTAA